AATTCAAAAGTTCATAGATATTAACCATAGTTAGGCAGTGTATTTTTTAAAATATGTTTAGTTGTCAATGGACCTTTATTTTATTTAATCTATATGTGGTGCTGAGAATAGAACCCAGTGCCTCACACATGTCAGTCAAGCACTCTACCACTGAGCCACAACCCCAGCCCAGGTAGTATATTATTATATGTATTTTCTGTAAAGACAAGATCTGGAATCAAAGCATCCATATCTGATTCCAGAGAAATGCTCTGAAAAAGACCATCAGATTCACAACTCTGAAATCAGTTATCAAAACTAGAAGAATATAAGAAAAAAAGAGAATTAGAATCCAGAATAAAATCCATTTGTTCCTAGATGTCTCTATTTCTAGTTCACCAAGAACCCATCCCTAAAAGGTCATGGATAAACAGAAACAGTGTTCCAAAAGGGGTCATTTGGAAAATAAGCAGAAGAAAAACTAATAATACATGTAGCAAACATAATAAATTCCTTGTAGATATTTCCTTTCAGTTCTCAAGGGTGGTAATATTCATCTCCTTGGCCACAGCCTTTCTTTGGGCTAATTATAATATATACAGTTGTTCTATAGGCTTTCTTTATCCTCTGTATTTTCTTGTATATCTTACACAGAAAGAATTTCAAGTAAGATTGTGTTATTTTTCCTTTCTGTAGCTGTGCTTTCTCAAAGCCACCAGTTGTCCTTAAATCAGACCAAACCACCACAGCACAGAATTCAAGGCTCCACAAATTCCTGGCCCAACACACTCTAGTTTTATCATCCTAAAACAGTACACAGTGACTCACATTTTCTGTTCTACACACTCTAACCTCTGTCTATAACATCTCTGCTACCTTGCCTCTGTCTTCAGTAATAACTTCATCAAACTGTTTTCCCTCATTAAAGAACATGACATCCAGGCAAGGTAGCACACACCTGTAATCCCAGCTACAAATACATACAAATGACCAATAAGCACATGAAAAGATACCTAACATCTTATATGCTTTGAGAAATGTGCCACATGGAAATGCAAATCAAAATGGGATAACTACATCAAAAGCAAGCAAACAAATATTCAGAAATAACAAGTGTTGATGGGGATATGAAAAGTTAGAACACTTGTGCATTCCAGTGTGAGTGTAAAATAGTGTAGACAGCAGTGGAAGACAGCATGGCAGGCCCTCAAAAAATTATCACAGATTTATCATATGATCCAGCAATCATATCTACCCAAAAGATATCTACCCAAAAGATCTGAAAGCAGGGAATTTAACAGATATTTGTAGACCAATGTTCATAGCAGCATTAGAATAGTCAAAGTATGGAAACAATCTAAATATCCACTGACTGATGAATGGATAAACAAAATGTGATATATGTATACAATTCAGCCTCAAAAAAATTCAGATACATGCAACTTGGATATTATGCTAAGTGAAAATATGTTAAGTGAGATAAGCCAGACACAAAAGGGCAAATATTACATGAGATCACTTTTATGAGGTACTCAGAAACCTCAAATTCATAGAGACAGAAAATACATAACAGTGGTTACCAGGGGCTAGGGAGGAGGAAAAAATGGGGAGTTGTTTAACGGGTACAGAGTTTCAGGTTGAAATGATGAAAAAATTCTGGATGGTGGTGATGATTACACAACGTACTATGAATGTACTAAATGCCAATGAATACTTGAAAAACGGTTAAAATGGTAAATTTTATATAACACATATTTTGTAAAACAACAAACCCATAAAGATTCAACTGAAAACTCTTTAACTCTATCTTTTCAATATTTAATACAGATGTTACTAGTTACTAGACCAGATTTCAGTGTGGGTATAAAATGAATCTTCCTATAAAGTTAAAGAAACTTTTAAAATTAGGGTCTTCTATCTTTAAAAATATCTTTATTAATCCAGGTTTAAAATTTGACCTCTAAAAATAACTTATCAGAGAACAGGCAAGCTAGAGAAACCTATACTATTTATGTTATCTATTAGTCATTATCTTTTCTGCAGTTGATCTTCCTCATGTTATTGTTTCCTTAATAATGACACAACTCTAATTTTTATCCAAAGCAGCTAAAGTTTAAAATAATTAAATTAACATTGCTTTATAATTTTAAGATACATGCATTTCTAGATGTAAAACAAGACAAAACATTTAAGTTGAAAAAAACTAAAAGGAATATCATGACATGAGTACAAGAACAATTCCACAATTTTTCAGGAGGAATTTTTCTGAAGACAGTAACATGAATAACCACAGAAATTTTGATGCCATATTTCCCCTAGGAAGATGGGCGTTTGTCTGTACTGCTTTAGTAAAGATGAGAAACTAAAGCCAATATCACTGTTTTTAGGAGCAAACTTTATGACATGCATAAATATCAAAATTAATCCGATTTTTTAAATTACTAAATAAAAATAAAAAATAATTAGAGTAATAAAAATAAATTTCACAAATGGAAGCAACTGGCTAGCTATAAGCATGGAGGAATCTGGGCATACAAATAACATGAATCAACATGTGGCACTGCTGTTTTGAAATTGTAATAAATGCATATAATCAAAATTGAAATATTAATTTAAGATTTCCAAAATAGTCATTTTAATCTTGCTTCTAAGTTGGCAAATGTAGCAGACTATTAATAAAAATATTTTAAATGAAGGTTATTATCAAATAAGAATATGGAACTGAGTAGATAGGGAACTCCAGAACCAAACATAAAACTGGATTCAAAGGATGTGTCATGGGGTAATTATCTTAGTTATACTCTTTTAACATTAAATTTTTGCAGGAAATGATGGAACACTTGAACTTGTAAAGCAGTTTATGTATAATATATATAGCGTATGTATATTTTTATACATTAAACATAAGCATAATCTATAGTATATAATTGTACATAGATCTTAATTATATATCATTCATGTGTGTATGTATGTATTTATAAACGTGTGTGTGAATATATATAACATATATCTCCCCAAATCAGGAAACTCTGTATTACGGGGCTTAAAAGAAGTCAAAATACTGAGCAGGAAGTACCAAGCAGGAAGTCATAACTTTTTCAGAGGGAAAATGGCAGTTCTTAAATTCTCAAAAGAAGACATATTATTGAGAAGTATGTCCTCTTAGGAAAAAAATAGGGAGTTAAAATTATTTAGTTGGAAAAGCCAAGGATGAGAATATAGTGAGCTTTGACATGGAACATTGTTATAAGCCAATTCTTCCTACCTACCAGTGTAGAATGCAAGAAATCAAAACTGCCTGGACGTATTTTTGCAGTAATCAAAACATATGCAGAAACTATTGAGCTTCCAAAATCTGCTAGGACACCTTCAATCTAAATGTTAAACTACATTAGAATATTTGATAGGTACATTAGTTTAAAAGAATAAAGAGAGCCAGGCATGATGATATACACCTGTATTCCCAGCAACTTGGGCGGCTGAGAAAGGAGGATTGCAAGTTCCAGGCCAGTCTTGGGAACTTATAGAGGCCCTAAGTAACTTAGCAAGACCCTGTCTCAAAATAAAAAATAAAAAGGACTGGAATGTGGCTCAGTGGTTAAGCCCATGGGTTCTATCTCTGATACTTTAAAAAAAAAAAAAAGAAGAAAATATAAAATGTTAAAGTTCTTCTGCTCATTTAGAACAAATTTGAGAGGAATTTGCCTATAAATGTATCTCTGCATTGAAATGTATTCCCTTATTTTTATTATTAATACTACACTTTGATTTACAAATCAGTTAATGCTATAGTTAGTAATTCCTCATACTTCAGATTCAAACTAACTTTTAAAAAGGTGAGTTTTCATTGTGCATATACACAACGAGATGCTTTTGAATTTAAAAAGTTCATCTTGTTTTTATTTCTAAAAACATCCCGAACGTACAAGGTAATCAAAATTGGGACATCACATGTGGGGAATTCTTTTATACATGACACTAATATTAAGATACTTTTCTTATCAAAAAAGAGTAAGTTTCACTGGGTTCAGTGGTATATGCCTGTAATCCCAGCAACTCTGGACGCTGAGGCAGGCAAAGCACAAGTTCAAGGCCACCCTCGGCAACTCAGTGAGACCCTGTCTCAAAAAATTAGGAAGAAAAAAAAAAGACTGGGATGTAACTCAGTAGCAAAGTGCCCCTGGGTTCAATGCCCAGTATTTAAAAAAAAAATAAAAACCAAGAAGGTGTAAAGCATAAAAAATTTCTTTTCTTACAAGATCAGAGTAAAGAAATCACTGCCAGCCCTTGAGAACATAAAGTACAATTAAGTACTACTATGAATTGAGAAGACACCTGGTTTTTTTTAGAGTAGATTTACCAATTGTTTATTTAAAAAAATATTTGTTAAAAATTAGTAAGGTGCTTTTAAAAAGGCAAGTAACTTAAACATTTATGTTATCTGCTCTGTAATATGGCTTTAAAATAAGAATGTGCTTAAATAAATACACTTAGCATCCAGTTCTTTAAAGAACATCAAAAGTTTAATAATGAGATGAATTGTTGACAAAGAAACTGTCTTCCTCAAGGAAAAAAAAAAATCTCTACATTAAAAGCCAATGACAGAAAATCCTAAATAATCTTTTGTTGTCAGAAGTCAATTTAATTTTTCCACAGAATAAACACAATTATTTCAATAGTAATATCAGTATAATCTGGGGGAATGAGTAAATCTACAAGGATTTTAAAACTTCTTCCTGTCCACTTATCACTTTTAAGATGCAATGATTCAGAGCTCTGATAGGGATTAAGATTTTCAGGAAATATAGAAGAAATTCATGTTAAATAACAACAGTGGACCTTGAAGTCATGAGCTTTTGTTACTTTATTGTTAACCAATGAATATTATCCAAAATTAGAGATGTAACTTAGTTGTACAACACAAAAATATACTAATGGTAAAAGCCTATTGGAATTTACCAAATACTCATTAGTGTATTTTACATTACTATATGAACATGTGCTCAACTGCTAAGTTATATTGGTTTAATCACTATGAAAATCCATATTGCAAATGGCTGTTCCTGTTTTAAAAAATCCACACAGCTTTAAAAATGGATTAAATCCATTTTAATCCTAATCTACAAATAGATTATAAACAGCAAATGTAACTGGTAATTTTTCAACACTGTAACAAACTGATGTAGCAATGATAGTGCACACAATTCAAAATTAGAAAAATTAATGGAAATCCAGGTTTTTACTATTATGGCAATTCCTTTAATGCTTTGGAAAAGTAAAAATTTTTTCAAAGCATGAACAGTAGGGTCTACCATTTACTCCTCTAGTGTACCAAGTAGAAACATTCTCTTTCATAGGATTTTGAAGCATGTGCACACCACTGTACAACAGTCACTTCAAGGTTAACCAGTTATCTTTTGTCCTACAAGTTCAAAATATATTAAGCAAAACCTTTCCTTTTCATAATGTCTGCCCAGATTAATCCTTTTAAAATTAGCAAAATAAAAAAGCACAAGAGATATTTTCAGACATAACTTGAATCTACTGTGCATGAAAAATGTTTAATAAAATGGCAATTTTAATAAATGTAAATTTGAGTGCACAATACCAAATGCAGAGTAGCTGAACCACACAGAGAAAACAAGGCTTTCCATATCTTCAAATCCAGGCATTTAATAATAAAGAAAATATTAGAATATCTCTAACTGGGAAAATTTATTTAGTAAGATAATTAAAATTAACAGCCTAAATATTATAATTTCTAAAATAAGATTACCAAATTTAATTTTTAAGTTATAGATTTAAAAAATAAGCACAGTGATTTAGAAACCAAAAATGCTAAAATGATCATGTAACTATCATATCAAGAAATGAAGGTATAGACATTCTTTATATGCTACAAAGGTAACATCTCTTTCTCTCACACACAAAGACACACATTTCCTCAGACATAACACCCCTCTAGGAAGATAGTATACCAGTGACATCTTACAATTTTAACACAAATCAGAGCCCACGGTTCAACTTAACAAAAAGTCAGTTAAAAAATTAGCATTCACATATTCTAAAGGAAAATGAAGTCTCAAAAATATTCCTTCATAATTGAGACTGTCTTAATGTATAATAAACATACAGCTTACACATTTCATGTGTTGGAAACCAGTCATTGTAGGTGTAATAGTGAGGTAGTATTACTGTCCCCTTCCTGGGACTGATGTTTTTATATACTGCCCTTCCAGAAAGGTCATTTTCCTTTTAGTGATTAAAATTAATTACCAACAAATGTTTACTTTCTTTTATTAGACATCCTTTTTTCTAAATCAACTCATGAAAGAACAAAACTTTTCAAGTTTTTGAGACAACTTATTTGTAGGTAGTGTTTCATCAATAACCTCTCCTAGGAACTAACTACACCTCTGTGAAGTGACTAGCAAAGAAAACCACCAAAAATTACAGGAGATGAAACACCAATCAATTTAGCTGTCAAAAATGACTGTAATTAAGTAAGCAAATAACAAATATCCAATAATGTAATTAAATTGGGACTTTATTTTAAAAACCTTATCATCAGCTACACACTATACTATTAAATGTACTAATCCTTTTCATGATTTGTAGTCATCATCTACACAGTGACCAAACACTTCTTCACCCTGCCATAATTTTAAACACTACCAATGACCTGTATGATAGCAGAATTATGGCTATGGGAATGGCAGGATATGAGAAGGGCACACTGAGAAAATGTAAGAGAATGAAGAAATGTATATAGGTTAAACACAAAAAAGGCAAGGGAAAACTGAGTGCTCCATCTAAACACTTATTGAAAGGTTCACCATTATTTTAAATGCACAAAGTGATCAAGCCACACATACACATTTGTCAGTCATGATAATTAGTGTTGAATGTTCAACAGAAAAAGAAAAATGAAAACTGAAAAATGTAAAAGAATTGATGGAACGTGGTTCTCCATCCCCTGGCCCAAACAAAAAAGAAAACCGAGCATGATATCACACTGCCTTAATGTTGAAGAGCTCTCCTTAAATTTGTCTTTCAGCCACCACAGTCAAACTGGTATAAGTGCTTTGGCAAGGTGGGATGCATTCCATCACATCTGCAAAGGCCTGCTTTTCTCTGTTGGTGGTTCAGCTTATGAAGAACATGTATGCAAAATAACAGCTCTCACATTGCTTCAAACTCATCAATACGCTGCTTTGTATTGCCTTGCCGAATTTGTCGAAGAGTCTTGTATTTATCACGGCCTGCTTTAACATTCTCAGCATGAAGAACGTCATTTTGTGTTTTCTTGGTTTCATCTCTGGCTTGGGCTAATTCTGAACTCAATGCCTACATTTAAAAAAAAAAAAAGACTATTAAAAAATGTATGGAAATGGTTTAAAGATGCAAAAATACATATATACCAAGTCTGACTTTTTAATATGTTAAAATTTCCACTGTGAAATCATTTTCTCTACTTTTTGTAACGGTGATGATAGTACTTGGGGAGGAATATTCATGGCCTTTCATTTTCACACTTACAACCATGATATTTTTTTATTCTAAATTTCCTTAACTTTTAATTCAGATTATATAATACCTTAAAGGTAGTTTATTAAATATTATAGTCAATGTACACTTTAAAAATATTTTTATTGGTCCATAATAGTGGAATTAATTGGGACATGCTTGTCAATGTGCACTTTACTATTTAAAAACTATATTCATTTGATTTTCAACACAGCAATAGAATATTTTCTACCTTTTAAAATGGGTCAAGCTAACAAACTAGTTAACAAACATTTGTTAATAGAGACATACAAAGGAAGAAATGAAATAATTGGCCAAACAACCAATTATAAGACTGGCCACTAATAAGATTGCTAAAAATCTTAAGTTCTTTTCGATACATTCATCTAAGATAGACAAAATATAAACTACATTTTACATGTACATAGAATTACAAATTACCTGAAGTTGTTTCTTTACGCGCTCATTTTTCTGTGTTTCCGTTACACGTTCTTCCTCACTTCTATGGTTCATTACCCCTTCATTCGATAATTCGGCACTAGCCTCAGCATTGTTCTCATCATGTTCATCATGTTCATTTTCTGTTGGAGGAATGACGGGTGGTGGTGGAGGCGGAGGGGGAGCAGACATCACAGTTTTTAACTCTTCTTTGGTCTTTTCCAAGTCTTCCTGGGCTGCAAAAGCCTAAACATTAAAAATAAATTCATGAGCAACTTACTTTGAAAAGTGGTAATTAAGAGAATCAAGTTATCTTGCCTTTCTAGCAAAAACTGTATCTCAGCGTAATGAAAATAGTCCTTACTGATGAACACTCTATTTTTACAGTATACCAGCAGGTAGAAGAGATAAAATTTTTAAAATATTATTTTACAAACCTCTAATAAAAAATTTTTAAAAGCCCTAATAAAAGTTTTAAAATCCCTAATAAAATCATTAATTCTGGCAAGGATTATCCACTGCTGCTGAAATTATTATGCAAATGTTTGACTATTTTGTTTGCAGAGGGCTAATAGATTACATTTGAGCCACATGGGAGTAAAATGGAGGAATCTGTCATTACTCTAATCCAATGATCAATTAAAATCACTAATGGTGAGTTAACTAAATAGTAAGAATCTTTTGACATGAAACAACATAAAATACCCAATATCACCAATGATTTGATTGATTCTATTGTCATGATTTGTCTAGAAAAGCCCTCTTTACACTGCTATCTTATATAATTATTAATAACACCCCCTTTTACTCACTTTTGTGATCTTCTTGTGTGCTATGTTATATGGAAGTCTCACCTATGATATATTATACAAAAAGCATTTAATTCCTCAAGTTTCTAGATCTAACTTTCAGTTATGGGAAATAGTGGGTATAAAAGGACAAATTGGATGACACCAAGAGGAAGCAATTTCTTCAGGTTCCTTCTATAAATCAATATCAAAAACAAAGGACTGTCCAACATTAAAACAGCCTTAGAGCAAAAAAGTACTGCAGGCGTGCAAAGTCCTAATTGAACACTGGCACAGCAAATTACCTCTAAAAGATTTTTTGGGTAAACTGAAAAATTCTGTTTAGATGAGATAAAAATTCACTAAAATGAAATTACAGGTATGATAAGATCTCATTTCAAATATATAAATGGGTATGTGTGTGTGTGTGTGTGTGTGTGTGTGTATATATATATACACACACACACACACACTCACACACTCACACACACATACACACACACACACAAAGAGGAAAATATGCACTAATGCTTTATAATGTTGTCCTAATCTGTGGGAATGCAATTTCTTGTGTACATTTTCTAAGTTTCTACAGTTCAAAGGACTTGTATCTGCAATATGAGATTTTTAAAAGCTATGTCTCTGAAGTTCATAAATCATCCCTAAATGGGAACGATAAAATTGTAATAATGAAGTAGTATAAGAAGATAAAACAGTTTTATTCCTTTTGTACTATTATATGTAAATTTATTTTATTTATTTTTTTAAGAGAGAAAGAGAGAAAATTTTTTAATATTTATTTTTTAGTTTTCGGTGGACACAACATCTTTGTTTGTATGTGGTGCTGAGGATCGAACCCGGGCCGCACACAAGCCAGGCGAGCGCACTACCACTTGAGCCACATCCCCAGCCCCTATATGTAAATTTAAATGTATCAAAAACTTCCCAATGAAATTTAAACTGCTACAAAGAAAATTAAAGAAAAACATTTTCTATAATAAGTACATTTTATTACAGAACATCATCAAATGTAACTGTTGAGAGCCATCCCTGGACTATATGTAGACTAAATCAGCATGGAAGCCCATTGAATAGGAAAATCTGATATTTGGAAACTTCCAGTGACAATCTGGCTGATAAAATCGCCCAGATACATGTCAGTCCTATTCAGCTCTGCCAAGTCCTACACAGCACTGGAGATGGGGTGACCTGTTGTAGCCACACCACCTCAGAGATGGGTATAGCCTATCAAGATGCCAATCAACCTGTTGACTGCAAGACTCTACATCTGAAACCATATCCCTACCTTTGACGTATCCCCTTAAATAAAACCAACAGAGCAATTTTCTCGTCAGTCAGCTCCAGTTCCTGTGTAGGCTGGACCTATCAGGAGCTCTGCATTTAAAACCATTTTTCTGACTCTGTCTTTTATTTCTTCACTATTTTCTCAGATGGCTTATCCCTCCTGGGCAAGAAAAATTACTCTGGTGAGTAATTCCTTTTGTACTTTATGATATATAACTGTATTTGGGGGTGTAAAAAAATCATTATAGTTGTCTTTTAAAGTTTACATTAAACTCTCATATGTCCCACATTCAACTGAAGCTTGATTTTCACTTTTGACAATGATGGATTCCTCTACAAAGAACTCTCATTAGAAATCTCAGCAGCACCATCACTGTAACTCTCTAATTCTACTCAACATCCAAGAATTGGTTATCCTGCCCTTTTCAGTGCACCACAAAATGTCAGCTCTCCATTTCTCTTTTTCTTCACCGCCACAACCTTTGGTCTTTACCTCTTTAAGTATCCAATATTCAATACATCTTTTATATTATTGTTGTTACTGTTATAAAATCTTACCTGATCATGCTACAATTATGTTTTGAAATTTTGAGAGCCTGGTGTCTACAGACATTCCCCATGACTTTGTCTTAGCATGGCCATTTATGTAAAGCCTTCCACAATTCAACTATACAATTTGCCAGGCACATCACCAACACTTCCAAATCTACGCTCTATGTTTTGGTCATTTATTGACTGTCCTCAAATTCATTATTTTTGCCCATACTTCCTATACTCATTCAATTCCCTTCTATCTAGAATGACCACCTCTTCAGTCACTAACTGTACTCAATCTTTTCTTTTCCCAAAATTTATTGCTCAATATCCAGCTTAAATGTATATGAGTTTCCCCAATAAACTGGCTCGTTCCTGGAAATTAATCACCTCTTCTGTGTTCCCAAAGTACTGAACATATGTTAATCTTATATTCATCTCTATAAAGTTAGTATATTGCTGACTTATTAGTGGACAAAGAATAGATTACTTTGTGTTGCCACTCGGTTGCTTCCTCTTCCTTTTTCTTTTTGGCTTCTTCTAGAAGGGCAATCTTGGCAGTAAATTCGGCAAGTTCTGCTGCCTATAAAGAACAACATAATTACCAATACTAAAAAAAAAAAAAAGAAAAAAAAATCCTAATATATTTTGAATAATCTTACATGTTCAGTCAAAAATATTCAAGTACATTCTTCTGTTTTTAAAAAGGCAATATTTCTTGAAGATCCTAAGTGGCTTATTTATACTAAGCTCTTGAGATAATAAGCTAATGAGACAAAACTAAGTGTTATTCTATAGAATGAGTTTTTATAGATGAGTAGTTAATCCTGATTTAGTAATAGGAACTTAAAATTTGTAACTTAGCTATTTTAAAAAATTTTTATCAGCAAACTTTCACTAAAGCCTACAAAAGAAAAATACTACATTGTTTATATAACACTTTATAATTTAAAGAGTACTTTGTCAAATAATCTCATCTGATTCCCCAACAATTCTCTTAAGTATATCATTCCCCTTTTCACAGGGAGGGACAGGGGGGCTAAACAAGCCATAAAGGCAAATAGCAAGTAATTACCTGAACTAATACTTAAATCCATAGATCTTTTAAGTGTTATGCCCCTCATTATTTGGAAGTCCATTAAACAACAACATCAAAAAAAATCTAATGAAATATGGCCCATAGTTATGTACAGACCAGAACATACTGCATCAATCGATCTAGAACAAAAGATGCCAGATGGCTTACTGCAGAGCCTGTCAAAAGTGTAAGCAAATGAGAATCTTATTGGCAGTAAAGGTATTTATTTGTTTTATTTCTAGGCTTTCTTTAAGGCAGAAATAAGTTTTAGGTTTATTTTCACACTTCATTAAGTTCCCTATACCTTTGGTTTGCATTTCACAGGTATGGTTTTTAAAAAGTTCATGCCACGCATTTACTTAATTTTTTCTTTTTCTCTAAGATCTAATATAATTCCTTACTAGCTGTTCCTGATTCTTCATCTGGTCAGCAGCTTGTTTTGCTATAGCAGACTTGGCCTCTTCAGCAGCTTGACGCTCCTTTTCTAGCCGTTCAGCTTCTTCTCTTGCTCGTTTTCGTTCCTGATCCAGTTCTAGAGCTTTCCGAGTCTGTTCTTCTAGTTCTGTCAAATACATGTATTTCCATGCCCCCCAAATAATGATTAATTCCAATTATTTCATTACCAAAGAAACTAAAATAGTAACACAGAATCTCATGTGTTTAGTTTCTAAAAATCAGTACATATATCAATACACACACTCACACACACACACACACACACACATATATATAAATATATAGCAATCACATAGACTTCATTTTTATCTTAGTGAAATATTAATAATTTTTAGAAATCTATGATGCAATTCAAAAATGCAAAGACATGAAAATTCTTTTTAATTCAAGTTATGTCATGAGGCTAGAAGCACATACCTTTACTTTCTAAAAATCCTTTCACTTAAAGTTTGACCTTAAGGGGGATGAAATTTTTTTTTTTTTAAAGGGGGTACTAAATTATACCGGTTGTAGAGCACTTGCATAGTAGGCACAAGGCCCTGGATTCAGGATCAGCAACATCTATTAGATAAGTAAACCCAAGGAATTTGACCTAATGTAAAAGTTCTCACATGAACTACAAATTATTGAAAATTGTGTTACTGGTATCCACAATTCCTAAGGCATGTGAAAGCAAGTGCTATTTGGAGATGACTGACTGAAATTTTAATCTTGAACAGTTAAGACCACAAAATTTTCTTATCCTAGTGAGTTGAACAGGAAAGGAAAATACTGCTGACACAAAACCAGGAAGCTTTTAAATGATTTTAAAATTACTAACTTTAAACATTATTAACAATTCTTGTTGAATAAGTACATTGTATGAAAGAGATAACAGAATGCTATCTAAGAGAGTGCAATGGTCTAGAAAGAATCACTTTTCCTTACTGAATACATTAGAAAAGAGGAGAAGTTGAAAATCTATATGCCAGGAGGTTTGTGGTTTTGATCTGTATTCCCCTGATGATTAGTGATGTTGAGCATTTCTGCATGTACCTGTTGGCCATTTGTATGTTTTGTTTTAAAAATGTCTATTTAGATCTACTGCCTATTTTTAAAATCTGGTTGTATTATTTGGAGTTTGTTATATATTCTATGTAACTACCTCTTGTCAAATGTATGTAATGTAAGAGCTTTTACCTACTGTTCTTAATTTTGTTGTTCATGGTCAGAATTAGCTTAAGTAACTGTAATTAAGACTTTGGAGTTATGAAAAGAATGGAAAAGAAAAATTACTCTTCAGTTAGGTTCTAAATTCTTGATAAAGGAATATAAAAATTCTATGTGGCTATTTTGCTATAAAGATGAAAAGTGTACAACACTGGATGTTGCCACAGCTAAATTCTAGAATTATTCATTTTTTAAGTTTTTATTTTTGATACACAAAAACATAATGTTCAATTCGTGTACACTGCACATAGTATTTAAATTAGTAAATACACCTATTTCTCTAAGCACAATTCTTTGTTAAAAGTTTTCAAAATCCTTTGTTCTAGCTTCTGAAATGTGCAGTTCATAACTGTTATCTATAAGTCATAATACTTTACAACAATAGTCCAGAGTTTTTTGCTCCAATCTAACTATAACTTAGTACCCACTGTTGGAACTTTCCTCATCCCTTCCTCCACACTGTCCCTGACCTCTGGTAACTACCATTCTACTCACATCTATGAAATAAATGTTTTTTTATATTCCACATGAGTGAGATCATGTGGTACTTGTCTTTTTGTACCTGACTTATTTCATTTCACAAAATGAAACAGTTCCATTGATGTTGTTGCAAAAGATGTGATTGTGCATGTTACATACCACATTTTCTTCATCCATTAATCAGTTCATGAACACTTAGATAATCTTATTTCCACTTCTCTGCTACTGTGAAGAATCCAGCAATGTACATAGTAGGATAGATAGTTCTTTTACATACCAATTTCATTTCCTTCAAATATATTCCCAGTAGTAGAATTGTTGGAACATCATCATCATAGTTCTATTTTTAATATTTATGAGGAAGCTTCATACTGTTTTCCGTAACAGCTATACTAATTTACATTGCCACCAACAGTGTGCAAGGTGCCCTTTCCTCCACATCCATGTTACCACATGGTATCTTTAGTCTTTTTTATACCAGCTATTCTTACTGGAGGTGATACTTCATTGTGGTTTTGATCTGTATTCCCCTGATGATTAGTGATGTTGAGCATTTCTGCATGTACCTGTTGGCCATTTGTTGGTTTTTTTTTTTTTTTTTTTTGAAAAATGTCTATTTAGATCTACTGCCTATTTTTAAAATCTGGTTGTATTATTTGGAGTTTGTTATATATTCTATGTATCTACCTCTTGTCAAATGTATATGTTGTAAATATTGTCTCCCATTCTGTATGTTGTCTGCATTCTGTTGAGTGTTGCTGTGCAGAAACTTTTATAAAATCCCATTTGTCTACTTTTGCTCGTTTCCTGAACTTTTGGCATCTTGTCCATAAAGTCCCTGCCCATTCCAATGGACTGAAGTATTTCCCATTGGTTTTCTTCTCGAAATTTGCTTCGAGTGTTCCATTTAAGATTTTAATCCATTTTGGGTTGAGTTTTTAATCAGTGAGAAATGGAAGTCCAGTTTAATTCTGCATGTGGGTTTCCAATATTCCCAACATTGTTTATTAAAAAGACTACCTCTAATTCATATTTTTAGTACCTACGTTGAAAATCAGTTAGCTGTAGATATGTGGGTTAACTTCTAGGCTATTCTATTTTAATGACAATACCATGCCATTTTGATTACTGCAAATCTGTAATATGTTTTGAATTCAGATAGTGTAATGTCTCTTGTTCTTTGTTCTCACAGTAACCTTGGCTATTCAGGGGTGTCTGTGTGTGTGTCTCTGTGTGTGTGTCTCTGTGTGTGTGTGTGT